ATCTAGAAATCTAGATCTAGATTCTAGATTCACTGCCTCATGACAATAATGGCCGTCATGTAAACATTAAATGGGACCGTATAATTGTACAGGTGTACCGAAAAAGAAGCCATTGAAACAAGCACAGAAGCTTAAGTGGATCTAGATTTCTAGATCTATATCTATTGTTGATATGATAGTATGAATCAAGTTGCATGATAGATCTAGATCTAGTGTGTCTCCGCCAATTCACAGGCAAGTAGCCTAGGCCTAGCCTAGTCAAGAGTCGCCCTTCGGACACTTCGGTCATTCGCCAACCACTAGGGGCCTAGATCTAAAATCTAAATCTAAATCTAGATCTAGATCTTGTATCTAGATCTAGATCTAGATCTAGATCTAGATTAGATTTAGATTATAGATCTACTTTCCGAACTGCACTCTTGGCTGGTTGCACAACAAAATCTAGACCTAGATTAGATCTAGATCTAGATCTAGATCTAGATCTAGATATATCTAGATTCTAGAATTTAAATCTAGATCTAGATCCTAGTTTCTAGATCTAGGTCTAGATAGGCTAGGTTTATTAATTAAATACTCTCTCTGGGCTAAAATATATTAATTTTAGTAGGCCTAGGCTAGACATACCGCCCGAGATGATCAGTAGCCTTGCATTGTAACCAATGTAAACTATCGCCAGCCCAGCGAGTTATACGCGCATCTGGCAAAGTGGGAGGGGCCTGCACTTGTAACATGACGTAAAGAAGAGTTGTCCCGTCTTGTCTTACTGTGTCTTGGGTCTTACTGAGTCTAAGATCTAGATATAGATCTAGATCTAGATCTATATTTAGATCTAGATCTAGATCTAGTTCTAGATCTAGATCTAGATCTAGATTCTAGATATTAGATCTAATGCATTGTTCATTGCCATAAATTGGTCAAAGATGAAAAAAAGGCTTTTTAACAACAAAAGTTGTCAAGTTACTTGGATACTGATGTGCTAATTCTAAATATCGTCCCTGTAAGTCTCCAAACGCGTAAGTCCGGAATTTTGGAACATAATATTTTGGTTTTATTTCACTCCAATAGG